GAAATTGTTTATATTTCAGTAATAAACTTTAACCTATGTATATATTTTTTATAATCTTTCACTGGAAGTAATTCGTTTTTCATTGATTATGTAAAAATACACTTTTTGAGTTAATCACTATTGTATTAACAAAGCGATATATAATATGATATGAGAGTAAAAGACAAAACCAACACCATTTCACACAAATTCTGGTCGACTTACAAGGTTGATTTCGGCCCTTATATGGAGGACTGTAAAAGTGTTAAAGATTCTATTAACGAAATCAGGCGATAACTTTTTTATTCTTAAATACGGGAGTTATAAAACTTCACATATACATAATTTGTTTTTGTAGTATTTTTATGACATTCGTGTGATAAAAATACTTTTGACAAATAATAATAATTATAATAACGCACAAACTCAACATATACACATACACAACATATGCCATGGATACACATATAAACAACCACAAATTACACCCAAACTCACGAGAGAAATTAATGTAAGGCATACAAATATTTCTCCCAACCCGGGAATCGAACCTGGGACCTCTGCGTGGCAAATCGTGGTAACCGTTCGACCACGGAGGCAGTTTATATTAATATTTTTAAATCGCTCTTCTGTAATAGAAGTTCTGTACGAGATTTTCCAAATGCGCATTAGACGTTTTACATTTCCAGGGTCGATATCATCTTTCATAGCACAACGCTCTCTCATTTCTAGGGTTCGGATAAATATGCAGTAAAAACTACAAAATATGTACATGTAATATGGGCAAAAAAATCTTAAATAGGAAACAATATGGAGATAAAAAACCAACTGTTTTCACATGGACTACGCTTTATAAAAAAAAAAATCAACAAATTTTGCTCCACTCCAATCTAATTTTCGTTATTGTTGTTAATATTACAATGCACAATTACATGTTTTTAAAATTCTCAAAATTAAAATTTTGTCTATGTGACCGGAACTGGCTGACATTTCGACGTCACAGTATCTGACTGGGGCAAACTTAAATTTGCACAAATCTGCAAGTCATTAGGTCACGTCTAGGTTGTCTTCTAATTTTCCCCAGAGTACATAATTAATTTTTTTTGGTGTATTAAACCCTTTTTTTTCAAGCACGCACGCACCTTTTTCTTACAATTAAATAAAATATCACGTAATATTGAAAATATAGATTATTGCCAGTTTCATGTAGGAATATGTTTTGTTAGAACAAATTTCTTATCTGTGAAAATGTTATTATTGCGTCCTAGTAACATCGAATTCGATGCTATTATTATATGGGATTCGCTCTGGGCCTTTTGGAAGAAAAAGTGTCGTTTTTATTTTGACTTTCAATTATTTTGTGAAATCTAGTTTAAAGTGGAATAGGATAGTGCTATTGTGCCTTAATCGAAGTTTAAAATGCGAAATTATACGAATCTCGAACTAAAATATCCGTAGCGGCCCGTTCTTAGGAATCCCGAGTCAATCCAAGCACGCCGCCTCAAATTGCCTATCCGTTTTGTGGCGGCCATATTTACAGAAACTTAATTAAACGAAGACATGGCTCAAAGGACTTGTATCCAAGCCAAAATTATTAATAAAAAACAAATTACTGTTACATTCAAATTTCGAACATTTCTGAAAAATAAAACAATTTGATTTGACCTCAATTCTCATATCAGTCGAGATGAAGTTTTATTCGAAATGAAATGTCAATAGCAAACAATTTTGATAATTTCACACGTTACTTGATATCGAACGATATGATAGTTGGGGCCGACTCTAGTTTGTCTATGAATTAAATTAAAACTACGGTTGTGTGACATGCGTGAGAAAAGTTTTTATTTGCCGCCATTTCGCCAGTCGTAACAAGCGGTTCCTGGACACATCATAGAGAGCTTATAATATGTGTGTAGATAAAGGAGTGTATGTACACTGCTTTATCCATACACATTGGCTAATTGTGTACAACTGTACACAATTAGCCAATAAAACACTCGTGTGATATTTTTATGAAACTCGCCTGTCTGCTCACCCTTTCTCGTATTTATATAATACCTTTCATTATGTAACAGTCACATAAAGAATTATTTTTTGATACCAAATAATCATTATTTATGTAAACAACAAATTAAAGAACGCCAATTATTGAAATCACAAATATGTAATTAAACATATCAATCCGGGCCCTATTCTTTACACTGTTTGAAATTCTTTAAGATTAATATGCACATATTGTTTTTTTTTCTCGCCTCTTTTTGTAACATAACATACTAAAAAAACTGTAACTAACCAATTTATGGACCCCATTGTCCGAATTTAAAGAGCAACTTAAAAAAATAAAAAAGAATAAAAATTTCTCAAAGGTCTAATTTCTACGACGACCTTTCCTTTACTTTTTTGCTTTTCCGGCTACACTCGCCACTATTTATTAAGCCAAAGCAAAATTTAAATTTCATGTTACCTAAACATCTTTTTCCTTTTTTTTTTATGGCAGGTTCATCGACATGGAGAGAGTACACCGATTAGATATGAACAATTTGAACTCACCAAAAAATTGCAAGAGCTGATAAAACCCTGGGGATACGGACAACTGACTTCTGTAAGTTATTTTGCGCCGTTACGACTTATGAAGTTTGCCACTCAACCGGTACCTATAAGAAACATATAGAGAAATTTGTAAGACCTGCTGTCTCGAAAAATAACTTGAACGTAAGGACATGACACGAAAATAATCTTAGTATAGAGCACTAAAAAAAACGACCTCAAAATTTCGTGGAATTATGTCTATTTGCCAAGTTTTATTGAAATTGGTTACCGGAAAGTGCGCGAAACCGAAATCATCCCCTAGTTTTCTAACCTTAGGTATTTTCGTCAAATAAATGGGATCACTACTGAGATACCCTCTTTCCAACAGAAAAAGAATCATCAAAATCTCTTCACAAATGAGTTATCACGTAGCATACATACAAAAAAAAAATACAGTCGATATTCTACAGGATATATCACGGAGAGTGTGCGATGAAATTGCATAATTTGATTCCGCCTTCCCCTTTCCATCATGGGACTAGGCGTAAGTTGGGGTTCCACCCCTATGTGGCGAACGGCTATGGAGTGAAATTCCCTGCCTTCAGACTTGTTCCCTGAACGTTATAACTTGTACCTTTTGAAGTGGGTTAAAAACGGAATCACGTAGCGATGACTCGAGCAGAAGTGAGTGCGTTAGCCTGTTCCCACTGCCTCTTCCCTCCTCTTCTCTCATCTCCAGCACTTTAGAATCGCGGGAATATGTTTGCCATTGTGGTGACAGGATGGCAAACATATCAATTGCATATGTAAACAAATTAAACTTGAAATCATCATATAAAATCTACTACTAATTTGTAAAGCAAATTCCTTTGAGCAGAACAAGTTAGAAACGCAAAAAGTTGATAAAAAATTGTACGCATGAGTATTAATCTTTTTTGATTAATACTCATGGTAACTTAAATTTACTTACAAAGTAATCAAATATCCTGCTTTAACCACTGTTCGGTGAATCCTTATTAATATCTGAGGCGGTTCAGGTTACAATCTCACCCGGTAACAGTTACAGGTTTCATCAAAATTACCATAACACCTCCCATTACGGTGACCATATAAACAGTAAAACAGTTGATATTCATCGATTTTCGAAACTTCTGTATAATATTCAATACAAATTCAAGTTACACTAAAGTACCGGCACGCTATGATAGCCATTTTGACAGATTACAATAATGAGATTTGACTCAATTAATTATCGAAAAAAATAAAATCAAATGCGAGTCGCAATTATAAGTTTTTAGATTTATAACTAGTATTGCAAGCGGTAGCTAATTAAAAAAGTTTTAATTTTAAAATGAAAACAAAAATGTTTACTTAATATATTGTCAATTCGTAACTGCTTTGTTTTGCATTGAGTTTGACGCGAGTTTGCCGGAGGTAGAAGTTGTGCTGGCCAGCGATCCTATAAGTGACGATCACAATAAACTTCATTTTTTAAAATTTCTAATTTCGAACAACACAAAGAGATGTGTCGTAAAATTATAGACTCATAAATTTTACTGCACGTCATTGTTGACAACAATACGGCTAATAGTACGGCAATTAGCTCCTTCAACGTAGTTATGAATTAATACGAAACTTGATGAGCCGACAGCCGTCAAAACGGCCATCATGGCGTGCCGGTATTTATAATGGATAATTATATTAAGCGGCATTAGTCAAAACCGGTGTCGCCACGCGTACACACACAGCTCAATAAATACAGCAGAAGTGGTTAGTTAGCGTCTGACGCGTGCCAACTATAGGTCTCGAAAGAACTATCTGAGCTCAGCCCGCCATTTTCGCTTTGTACGGTATGGTTGTGTCATTCTTTCGTGCAAATTCTCTAAAATTCTAGAAAAATGCCTTATTGTGTCAAAATGATCGCCGCTTTTCCGGTCTATATATTTTTGTTGATCATTTATCAAACGAGTGCACCGTTGATGACAGTGTGACTCGAAATATTCAACTGGAGTTCGCTATTTTTTTTACAGGCTGGCAAAAGGACTGGCTACAAATTAGGCAAATTTATTCGTCGTAGGTACAACGAGTTGCTTTCTCCAAAATATAAGGAGTCCGAGATCTACATCCGATCGACTGACTCCACAAGGTCAAAGATGACAATGCTGACTGCCATGTCTGCCGTGTACCCATCGCTTAAAAATGCTTGGAGTAAAGATATTTGCTGGGAACCTGTGCCTTACACTACTGAACCAGCTAGGTATGATTTTGTAAGTATGGTTACCTTTAAAAAGAGGTTTTTATTGTAACACAATTATGTTACAATATGACATGCACACTGTAAAGGTTAAGGGTGCTGGGAAAATTACAGGCACATGGAACTTGTCAACTTATGTATCAGGGTGACGGGCGTAGTGGCAGTGCCACCCAAATCTTTGCGATTTAAAGCTCTGAGTAGCACTGCAATTACTATGGACAGGCGTGTCACTTACCACCAGGCGCACGACTTGTTCATCCCGTCACTAGATAATTTAAAAAAATCAATAAAGACCAAGGTAATTTTCAAAAATGCTTATAACCATGATGGTATTTATATAAAAGAATTGTAACTTTTTGTCTTTTTTAAAGTAATTATAATATCGACAGTGGAAATTTGAAATGTCCTACTGTAGGAAAAAATGACCTTTCGATAAAATGTCTCTTACGACATTCCAAAGTTCCACTGTCGATATACGGTAATAATTTTGTCGATGTATCGCATTTTGAAACGTCGTAAGGGACACTACACACAATAAGGGACATTTTCCATTACGACAAAACGTTCCTTACAACTTTTTAAATTTCCACTGTCGATAGACATTTCTCTATATCTTTCTATGTTCTTGTGTGTAATTTGCATAAGGTTACCCTGAAGTAACAAACGCTTAATCGTCGTCGTCGAAGAAATTTTATCATAGACCAAGACACACCTAATCGCTATACGAGACAGTGTCGTGTATTTTGTAGCTACTGGTACACCAGATGCCGCGACGAGTATAAAAGCTATTTTTGTTTGTTTTACATTGACTAATCTCTCTCACCCTAATTTCTAGTGATAACAAACAAATCAACTAGATGGCGCGTGCAATAGCACAGATTTTCGTTTAAGATTAGCGCCATCTACCCATATTAGGAAGCGTAAATCATAACAAACAATGTCATCTATTGACACTTGGTGTATAAATAACAGAATTCTAAGTCAATATCTTTTATTGAAATAAAGAATATATTGCTCTCTTTCTATGTTCTTGTTGTGACGAACGCGGGTTCGTGTCCAGTCGTATCGAAGGAATTTTTCTGGTAACCTATCACAAACTCGAATTTTTTTCCGAAATATCGTTTGTTCGAATTTTCATTACACCGAAAACCGAATTATAACGAAACCGTTGTTCTTTCAGGATATGTTGGATATTTATCGCAAAGACACGATTACATTCGGTTAGGTTAGGTTACGTTCCCCACACTAGAGAAGCTAGTGGGGGTTCGGCGTGCCGCCAAGACCTCCGTCCAGGCGGGGTGGGAGGAGGCACTCCGATCGGCCAGATACGGGGAGCGCACCGTCCAGGCGCTGCTCCCTGTACTGGCCGATTGGAGAAAGAGGAGGCACGGGTCCCTCACCTACCGTCTTGTTCAGGTACTCACCGGACACGGCTGTTTCGGTGACTACCTGCACAAGATCGCACGGAGGGAGGTGACCCCGGAGTGTCACGAGTGCGGCGCTGCTACAGACTCGGCGAGGCACACCTTGGAGGTGTGCCCGACCTGGAGCCAGCAGCGCCGGGATCTCGTAGAGGTCACCACCTCCAAGTCGTCCACCGGACGAGACCTCTCACTGCCCAGCATAGTTAGAGCCTTGCTGGGAAGCGAGAGGTCATGGCAGGCGATGGTCTCCTTCTGCGAGGACGTGATGTCGCAGAAGGAGACAGCCGAACAGGTCCGCGAAGACAGCGCCCTCTCGGACCTCATTCGGCGTCGGCGGAGAGGACGCACGCGACGGCTCTTCGCCGACCGCCTGCGTCCCATCAGCGGAGGCCAGCAGGGTGCGAGGTTGGGATACCCTGCCCCTGCATTGCACAGGCCTCCGCCGCCGGTAGATGCCCCAAATGTTCCGGGGCATCTCCGTGTAGGTCGCCCCCCATGATTAAGGGGGCGATGGTGTAGGAGTCCGCCCAAAGGCGGACCAGCACCACCGGAGTCGCGGTAGCATCTGAAAGGGACCCCGCGGCTCCGGCGCCAGGTGCGCGCAGGAACATCGTGAGGTTTTTAGTGGGTATGCTCTTGGGGATCGACATAGTCCCCAGGAGAGAGTCCCACATATCCCCGCCGTCTCCCAGCGGCGGGGAATGCGTAACGCATTTTCCTCACGATAATAAAAAAAACAAGGTTAGGTTACGTTAGGTTTAAAAGAAAAAACATTTTCCTCTCAAAATTACTTTCGAGGTCATGAAAATTCGAGCAAACGTTATTTTGGGAAAATGTCATTTCGAACTACTGATATGTAAACAATTTTTCTTTAGCTTTGTTCGATCTTTGTAGGTCAATAACAAAGCATTATTTTTAATGAGCTCGAAACGTTCTTCATGTCAATATTAAACTACTTACGGAGCTTCTTTCTTTACACATAAATCGATGAGAAACACCTAATGGATATTCGTATGAGAAATTAAATGTTTAACTATTATTGATACAAACTAGGAAAAAACACAAAGAAAAATTCCTGCTATCCATCTGGACTCGATCCCAATACAAAGATCCGCAAGACGATGATCGCAAGATCTGCTGGCGAAATCCGTAGCTCAGTAAACAAGAGCCACTTTGAGGCTACCGATACTGGTTCGAGTCCAATTGGATCGAAGGATTTTTCATTATGTTTGTGATCGCATTATAAATCAATAATAATAATAACAAAACCAGTGGAATATTTTCACAAAAAGTTTATGAATATCATCAGGGGATAAATCACTTTGAATTTCTCATGCAATAAAATTTTTATCATATTAATTATAAAATTTAATTATCATAGAATGGTTTTCTTTTTATTTTAAGTAAAATCATTTGGTAGTTTTTTAATATTCGTTATTTTTGTGAACATCGGCAACTATTCTCTAGCGCTGCTATTACGATGCCCGAGTTTACGGGTATAAAGAATGACTGCTGTCATTCGGTTAGTAACGTTTTTAAAAGTTCGTGGAATTACATCTATTTGCCAAGTTTTTAACCGACCTCAAAAAAGGAGGAGGTTCTCAAGTCGACTATATGTTCTTTTTTTTGTATGTGTTACGCCATAACTCCGGTATTTGTGAACCGATTTTCATGATACTTTTTTTGTTGGAGAGGGGGTACTTCCATAGTGGTCCCATTTCATTTTGAAGAAAATCATCCACCTTTAAGGGTAAAGGTTCACGCATGAAGATTCATTTTTATAAATAGCGCCTAACTTTAATTTAGGAGCAATTATTTTAATGGTTGATTTTGCTATTTCTCCAATTCAAGGCGTTTTTCTCTCAATATACTTTGAGTAGTGAGAATTGATTATTATTATCTCCAGTGTCAAGTCCTGTATAGTGGCGAACTAGGGGATATTTCAATAAAACTTAGCAAATAGAAGTAATTCCATGTACTTTTGAGGTCGGTTTTTTTAGTACTCTGTACTGAGATTGAAATCAGTGTCATCCCCTAGTTTGCCACCCTCAGCGCGTTTGCGAATCCGAGACTTTATAAATCTAGAAAACTCGGACCCATTTCAGATGTCGCTTATGCACTAAGTCCGGTTCGAGTCCGAGAAAATGCGAATAACGCTTGTACACCTAGAGATAAATAATCCCTGTGACATTTCGGACCACAGACCACATAAATTCGGACCGTCATTTCTCGAATTCGGGACTGATACGAAACGTAATGCGCAAACGGTCTTAGAGGTGGAATATTTACTTTAATTTTAATTGTTGGTCCCATACTGAGGTACCAAACGTGAGGTAAGGTACCTCCTCCTTTTTCTAAGTCCATGAAAATAAAGTTAAATTATTTTTTGTTATAAAATACCAAGTGTTTGTTTTAAGTGTAGGAATACCATGTTAAAAGGTGTTCAGTAATTAATAATACTAAATATTTGCAATTACTTTCAGAATACAGCATTTGTGAACTGCCCCGATCTCGTGCTCTTCCATGAATATACCGAGAACCAAACATCACATAGGATGAGCCAATATTCAAATATTCTTGCTAATATATCCGATGCTTTAAACTTCAACCTCACTGCGTTCCCCTTGTTTGCGTACAAGCTTTACGATTTTGTAGTCAGCCAGGTAAGCATATTATGCGGCGTGAATTTGGAGCCGCAAAAATAATTCCTTAATTTTATAAAATAAGTCGTGATAGGCAGTAAGTTAACAGCCAGTGAACTCGCCCGGATTTTAACCAGGTTTTTACCTAAAGCACCGGTCCGGGTTTAATCCATTTCTGCCGAACACCGTGGGCGGAAACAGCGAATACGGAATTTGGTTTATTTCCATACTTTTAAGGTTTTCGTGGTTATTCACTAAATGATTACCCAGGTTTCTTACCGCGATACGATTTCTAAGTACTAGTATACTAAATGCGGCATTCCATAGACACGCTGTGTTTCACTGGTGTGCGGTGAAGACGCTACACATCATTTAGTCGGTTGGCAAACATTCAAGATTGCGGACGCAGATGCGGTCCTCTTTGAAAATTTACATCGGTGTGTTGCTCACATTTCGTTATTTGACTAATTGTGTGAAGTTAAATTTAAAGTTCCAAATTATTCACATTCAGAGACCAATGAAACAAGTTATGCTCGAATTTCTCTGAAAAACAAAATTCATGACGTAGTTATCCAACAGAGAGCAAAAGCAAAGATCATTGACATAACTTGTAGAATAAGCAAGCTGAAGTGGTAGTGGGTTAGCCATATCTACTGGAGAACTTGGGAATCGATGAGGAAACAACTTCTTGAGTCCACGACTCTGCAAACGTAGTGTATAATCCACTGCGGCTAGATGGAGTAACGATCTGAGACAGACTATGGACAGAAATAGCCTGGCTATGGGTACTTGATACTTACAATCGTTTTCAGCAACATCTGGGTTATGATATAGGCCAAAGATTGACTGAATTAATGCTACCATTCGAATTCGCTGCAAGTGAAGCCATGGACATAATGCACGGTGATGATAATTTCATTGACTTGCAAGCTGGTAAGTAGGAAACGTAATAAACTTGCCTATCGTATTTCTAAGTATCTAGTAAAATAGTAGCATAAAAAACATGCAAGTAGCAGTAGAACTTGTGAAAATATTGCTTCAGGTAAGTCCTGCTACAACATCCAGTGAGTGGGCGAACAAGTCGTGCGCCTGGTGGTAAGCGACACGCCGTCCGTGACAGTTCCAATGCCACTCAGAGCCTTAAATCGCAAAGAATCTGAGAAGCAGTCACACTACGCCCGTCACCTTGAGATGTATATTGGCAAGTCCCATATGCCTGTAACTTCACCAGCACCTTTGCTTTCATTAATTATTGGCTGTCACAAGGAGCTCTATTGCTACTAAACTAACGAACATTTCCTATTAGATAAGGAACTCGTCGTTAAAAAAATTTTTAGCATGTCATGTCATTAAATATGTCGGCCCCATTAGAAAAACGATACACGATATAATAGAAAACACTTAATAAAATCCAGACAGATAGTTTAAAATACTACATAAACAAACATGTGTCCAAAATCTTCACGTTGGCTCCGACAAAATATAAAATAATCTAAGTTAATGCCAATTCAATTCAAATTCTTTAAAAGTCATCCCCGTACGGATCATTTATTAATAGCATAGAATACAACAAAAAACAAGACGTGCTACGAGAATTGTTGATGATTCTGTGTTTACAGACGATATTGAAGCACTGTCATCGAGGAGAGACCTTGCCTCCCTGTGCCTGGTCTATCGCCTGTACAATCATTGATCCAATCAAACCATTTCCAATACGATTCAAATATGAAAGTATCTAAATTACGCGAGGTAAATTCAAACACCATTTTCGACACAACCAACTATTATTTATTTTTTACAGACTGGCTAAATATTAGGTCAATTTATTGGTCATAGGTGCAACGAGTTGCTTGCTCCAAAATATAAGGAGTCCGATATTTAAATACGATCGAATGACTCTACAAGGTCAAAGATGACAGTGCTGACTGACTGCCATATCCGTCGGATGGATCTACTACCAAATCTTATTTTGCATCGGTTTTTGTTACATAAAAATATTGTTTGTCTTCTTCAGGTGTTCTCCTAAAGGAATTCTTTACACATGCTAAAGGAATTATCAACTGTACAGGCACTCAGCGAGTTCGTATATACTCCGCTCATGACATCAATGTCTACTCTTTACAATCTGTGTCCTTAGTGAATCCAAGACAGGGATTCCCAAAATATGGCTCCGTATTCTCTTTGGAACTGAGAAGGATTCCTGAAACTGGCGAATTTGTTGTTTTGGTAATTATTTATTATGTTTTATAATTAAGTCTCGAGGGATGTACAGTCCGTATACCTTTCATTATACGGGAAGGACACTATTACATGTGCAAGCAAGCCCGCACTAGTACCTTACCAGTCAAGCGCGGACCCCAATCCGCTGAAATAGGCTTCATCCGGTTCTTCATCTGGGTGAGTGTCCACAGGTGCATATACAGCAACCTCCCTATTGTCCAGATAGGTAACGGAGCTATTGGCTCGCTCTCCTCCCGCTGTTTATTGCGCAACCAGCTTTTGCCACTATTAAGCTGTTGATTTTAAAATCGAGTTCGAGAGTCTTAGTTCGAATGTTGCCTCTAGTGCAACTGAAAAAGATCCATCAAAGTGTAGCTTGATGTGGTACCGTCTGTACTTACTTTAAATTATATTAAAAAAATACAAATTACTGCACATTAAAAAGGAATGCATTTAAATCTCAATGAAAAATATTGACCCGTCATTCTTACTGACCCGTGTAAGTAGGCAACTAAATAACAATGAGAATATAAAATGTTGTGTTGTAACACTACTACTAATTTGACTATGCTGCACTGAGAAGATTTTTCCACTGCTATCAGATCAAGTGGGGTAAGAGGAATACGGGTAGAAGATGAATTTGAAATCTTAACTCATAATCTAAAAAGTTTAGCACTTAAGTCTCTCAGTCGATAAAACAGACAATTAATTTAAAGAGATGTCGCTACGTGCTACGTTTATAAGAAATACGATTACTGTTCCCATCCCGTTATTATCCCATCTTTTGGGGAAGAGAAACGTTAGCACAATTTGCACGTTTTCGGAATATGTAAGGCTGATAAACAGAGACAAGTTTTGTGTGTTTCAAAATCCAATAATAAGACTTTGTCTGTTCTTCCTAAAGCTCAAAACATTTGACTCAAAAATGTTCCTCAGGACGTTCCTCCTACCCCAACTGTCTATAATAATAATAGTGATGTTCATACGTTATTAAGGGAACGTTAATTAGAGAAGGAAATGTGCTGACGTTGGCGCAAACGCTCATATAAGTCATTTATGAGCATTCGGCTCCGCAAGACTGCATACAGCGGGCAACGTTATTTTCACCTCTCTGAACACGTGTGTGGGTTCCTTTTCCCTCGTATTGAGCGCCTGGTGTCATTAGTTAGACATATTTATTATTATAACGTAGGTATTTTCGATTTTGTGTAACAGTGAAGTATCTGTTACGTAGTAATATGTGACGCCAAGCATAAACAACATATTCATGTTAAAGCAGTCCGCTTTTACGCGTCCCGGGAAAAAAGTCGTGACTCGGTGCGGTCTCGAAAGTTGGAAAAACGAGACTTTCGAGACTACTCCAAAACTTAATTTCCATGCTTATTCTTCATCTAAATCGATTCCTCGCTGCTGAGGATCGTGACTCCACTTCAGCCGGCCACTATAAAATCAAAACATTAATAAAGATCTTTTAATTTTTATTGTGGGCTCCAAAGAAACAAAAGGCGTGTAATATAGATTCTAGATCTGCATCTGGTTTGATGACTATGGTTTTTCAATCTCTAAGCTTTATTCTACCGTTTTGTTAGATAAATAGACAAATATTTAATAAGTAAATATTACATTATTTCTTATATCTTTTTTACTCTCTTTTACCATCGGGCACCCAGACGTACGGCGGGATATCATCCCTTCTTGTTCGATATTCCCTACAGGCGTAAAAAGCGCTTTTCGTCATCTTTTATTATGCGCACAGCCCAGGAATGGAATTCCCTGCCTGGAACTAAGCTTCTGAGCACCAACCCGCATCTTTAAGGTGCGACTGAATAAACATCTTCTAGGCGAGCTTGTTCCATGGTATACCCTGTTTTTGCGCGAAGATAGTGGTCAAAGGCTACTTAGAAAATAAAACAAAGTAAAAAAGGACTGTTATTTGTTTTACTGTTTAATTGAGTGACTTACGTCACTATATTTAACTTGCGAAAATCCCAAAAAATAATCAAAACTTTCAAAATTTTAGATAGCGGATTTCCGGGATCAAAACCCTAATATTTGGTAATTAATAAATATTTTTCTTTTACAGCCCGTCTACCTCCCCTCACCGAATGAGACAGAATATTACCTTCATGTACACGGCTGTGGCCTCCCCTGTAAATTTGACAAATTCTTTGAGATCACCTCAAGGTATCTTCACGACGTAGATTCTTGGCGTGCAAAATGTGGATTCACTGAGGATTACAAAGTCGATGCCTCGATCTTGGATTAATTCTTGAAATAGGCTAACTTGGCAGAGTAGTCTCGGCAACGTCTTCCAAAATTGAATATGTTACTTCCTATTATAAATTTAAAATAGAAATTTACCTTCTACGTTCTCAACAAAACACTTTTGCCGCGAAATCTTCGTGGTTAAACATTTTATATTTTTAATTTTCCACGATATTTGTCACCTTTGTCCGTACCACATTATTTAGTTTTTTATTAGAAGAAATGTCTTATTATAACCTTTAAAATATACGGAAATTATCTCCCAATTCGGTGTTTTAATAAGGGAGCAAAGGCTGCTGCCTGCCGTATCGTCTGTCCATTAATGAGTTTTTGAATATACCGCCATTTAACAGTTAGTTTTTCAGAATTTAAATCAGCACAATTGGTTCCTGATCCTGTACATAGGGCGCACTATAAGTTTCCGGAACTGGCCACTTACATAAACAATATTTAAAAAGTAATTGCAACATTTGAAAATGGAACTCTTTGGCCGTAGAATACAGTTTATTTTATCTGACTGTCACTTGTTTTTACATTGTCGCGTCATTTTAGAAATTGGTTGTCTCTACCTCACTATGGATTTAACTCGTGAAAATTTTCGTAGTATGATTTTCTACGATTTCAAGTGGAATTTAACAGCTCAGCGGAGCTTCCCTCGGCTTCAAATTGCTTGTGGCGATGAAGGACCATGCAAGACGACTGTTTTGTTCATAGCTGATTTGGAGAATTCAAACGCGGTTGTATGAATCTCAGTGACGAATTTCGTGATGGTCGCCCGTCCACTGCTGAACAACAAAAACATCGATGCTGTGCGCCGTATGATCAAAACAGATAGGCATGTGACATACTATGAGATTCGGGCATCTTTAGGCATAGACATGAGTCAAATACAATCAACACTACACAAACATTTGGGCGTGAAAAGGCTGTGCTCTCGGTGGATCCCACACAATTTGACTGAAGCTCAAAAAATGAATCGCGTCTCTTGGTGAAATGCCATGATTACCAGATTCAACGAAGGGGCGTCAAATTTGGTGTGGGATATAGTAACAGGTGACGAAACATGGATTTATAGTTACGATCCCAAAACAAAGCAATCGAGCGTATGAGTATTTCGAGATGAACCGAAACCAACCAAAGTACCTCTAAGTGGATGATTGCTCCTTTTTTTAAATAAAATTGGTCACGTGGCTACTGTTGCTTTCGAGAATCGTTCTACCGTGAATAGTGATTGGTACACGACCATTTGTTTGCCGGAAGTTATTGACAAACTCCGTAAAAATAACCGTAAATGCCGTATCATCTTGCACCACGATAATGCCAGTTCTCACACGGCCAGACAGACAAATGAATTTTTGAAGGTGAACAACGTTGACCTTATGAGCCATCCCGCGTACAGTCTCGGCCTGGCACCTTGTGACTTTTATTTATTTCCAAAAATTAAGGACCAGTTACGCAGTCAATGATTTTCATCACCTGAAGAGACTGTCGAAGAGTCTGAAAAATATGTTTCAGAGATTGTCGCGGATGAGTGGCATGAATGTTTTCAAAATTGGTTCATTCGTATGAAAAAGTGCATTAACACTAACGGAGAATATGTTGAGAAACAATAAATTCATGTCTGATCATTTATAGTATTTTTTTTCTTATTCATTCCGGAAATTTAGTGCGCCCCACGTATAAACATTCCTGGCGTAAGCGGTTTCAAATTTTCCGTATTATCAGATGCGTAAGTTATTGGACGTGAATTAATAACTAGTAAAATAGTTTGCATTTCCATTAAACTCACACTCACGCTGTTTTTGTATCCAATATAATAAATTATTCAATTTGTCATTAGGTTCAACATTAGGTCTCGAAAGACCTACTTGAGCTCAGTCTGCAATTTTCGCTTTGTACGGTATGGTTGTGCCATTCTTTCGTGCAAATTCTCTAAAATCGCAGAAAAATGCCTTATTGTGCTGTTTTGAAGTGCAAAACGGCACGACAACCAGCACATAGAAAAAATCGTGAGGTCCGCTGGTTCGTTCGGTTACTTGTTAGTATAGCGTCTGGCACGGTTTGCTAGAAGACGT